GTTCTTCACATTTATTTGGCAAGCGACGATTTCGATGCCTGATAGAGCAGGAAGGGAAATTTTGTAGAAAGGGTAGCACTTTTTGATCCCTAAAAGTACTCCTCCATAAGAATCGTCTCTATCCAGGCGTATAATGTTAAAATCGTGGAAGTTGAGTTCTTCATCGGAAGAAAGCCATGTTTCACAGAGAGCAAATATATCACAATCAGAATTGTGAAGTAAAAATTTGAACGAGTCTAGTTTAGGCACTAGACTACGGCAGTTCCACTGTAGCACAGTGATCATATCTTCAACCTCGTTCGACGAATTATCCATCGAAAGATATGATTGATGCAAGGAGGGGCCATGAAACAGTCAATTGCTTAAGATATGATTCTAATGTTGGAAGCAAGGCAGGGTCTTGTATGTTGAACATATTTAATATGAATTCCACAATGTCCGAAAAAGCTAGCAAACCTCGCTCGGACTTGGATTTCTTTTGAGAAGTTTGAGGAGCAGCTTTATTATTTTTCTTATCTTTTTTGGGCAATGGTGGAAAATTCCTGCTGCATCCAGGGATTGGTTCAGCAGGAGCCTTCGGTTTCGTTTTTTCATCCCCATTACCCTGGGAATTTGCCAATCTTCTGGAGGTGACTTTAGTTTTCTTACGGCGCACTTTCGGGGAGGGGCATTTTCTTTTTGAGGATCCGTCCATTTTTGAAGGTGCGTGTACCACCGTAGAATCACCTTCATCGGATGAGTCAGAGTCCGATTCTTCAGCTGACAAAATCGAAAATTGGTTTGCATCTTGGACGGCTGATGCAGCCTTCACCATTTGAGCATATGTCTGCTTGGAGCGTCCTGAGATTGAACGCTGCACTTTATCGGAGTGCTGCTTGTACATCGGGCACTCCTGCAAGGGGTGAGGATTCTCGCCACAGTACGCGCATTTTACTGATTCTTTGTGGCAAGAATCCTCTTTGTGGTTTTCACCACATTTGCCACAACGAGTTTTGTTGCCGCAATGGCTGGCCGAGTGTCCTAGCCTTTTGCAGTTGGTACAGTTATAAACCCTCTGTACAAACAACCGCACCGGAAAAAAAGCACCATCAACTTTGACAAAGTTTGGGAGAACTGAACCAGCGAAAGTCACCCGAAACGAGTCTGAATGCTGATAGACTTTCTTGCCATCTTGTAAAGACACTGAATGCAGTTGCCTAACATCCAGTATCTTTACAAGCTCGCTTGTGACTTTTCTGTTTTTAAAACAACCCGAGGCACGTTTCAAGTCCTCGACAGACAGACTCGCGTCGGAGACCACGCCTTCTATCTCCACATCTCGAGAAGGGATGTAGATGTTGTACTCAACACTAAACAACTCGTGATCAGCAATTTTATTTGCTACATCATAATTCGGTGCTTCTACACGCAGTTTGTTGAATCTCTCCTTATGTACCAAGATTCCCGGATACTTACGCAGCAAGTCTCTCGAAATATCGAGAGTTTTCAAGGGTTTATTTTTAGGCCGAAAAAAGACAACCCATGGTCCTTTCGAAAGTGGTTGGTAATACCTGGTTCGCGCAACGTTGGCATCGGAAGATGCCATAAGTGTTGCGCAAAAGCGGTGCGCAACCGCTTAAGAAGGAAAAAAAAAATAAAACCTTCTCCAATTTATTAATTTTAATTACTAGTAATTAAATTTTTGCACGGCGTACAAGCAAATTAAAGCGAAAAAAAATCGAAAAAAAAACTTTTATCTAGTTGCAACAAGTTGTCTCACTATGAACCATACTCCCTTACCAGGGGTGAGAGACAGAACCACGCGCCACGAGGCAAAACAAAACTACAATAGGGAGGCAATGGACTTGCAAAATGTATTGTACTATACTTATGCCGGTTGTGTAAACAACCTATCAGCCGGTGCAGCTAGGTATTCCGTTTGCTGCTGCTACGCTGCGGCTATTGACGGAGATGATGCGATGATGATGGTGATGATTTGATGATGATCGATCACTGGGGTAAAGGTGAACAGTCTATACGTAAGACTCAGCTTACGATAGCTGCTTCCGAAAACCGTGCGCGATTCACCTGAACACTTTTTTTCTACAACGATAGCGATGGAAACGCGGTAAAAAACGAGTGTCGTATGAAGAGACCAGGACGCTGTTAACTGGCTCAGCGCTCGATACGGAATCGGTTTTGGAAACGATGACCAAACATTGTTGTTTAAAGTTAAGCAGAAAGGAATGTAGGAAATGGAAGTTTAAAGGTACACCACACTTCCCTAGAGTATCACCTTAAGTTACCTCTATGATAGAACTGCCGATGTCGGAACAACCGGTGTGGCTTCTTCCTCTTTCTTTTGGTGAATCGAGGGCTCTTGAGGACAGCCTTGAAAGCTAGCTGCTTACGGGGAGCCTTTCGATGTGTACTGGAGAAAAATGTACAACGCCACGTGCCAAAAGCATTGTTGCTGATGACCGGACACCACCACTCACCACACGCGGTTGCTGCATAAACACCGTTCGGCGAGACCGGATGGAATTCGATTTTGAAATATGTGTTATGGGGAAGCGCTTTTCGCATACAATCGGTGATAATTTTAATTATCATAGCAACAGTTGCTCATTCGTGCAATTTTCAATAGTTGTCTTTCAACTCGTAGAAAAATTTCGTATCGATTGGTGTATTAAAAATTAAAATCCATAATCTCTGGATCAGAAGCAGACCACTTTCATGCTGCGACCGACTTTGGTTTTCGAAATTGCCCCAAAATGTTGCCTTAAAAATACAAGGTATGTTAGATTTAAACTTATAGAAACTGACATCCAATAAATGACCTTGACAAATGTCCAGAAAATACTCTTTAACAAATTTATGGTGGTCCTGAAAAGGACCGTTTTGTCGTGATGGTTGAGTAATGCTGAGCTATTAGCGTGCTCAACACAGATGAGGCTGGCGAGCTGTATGTTGTTTGGCACGAGGGTGACGCGCTTTGCATAGATGGCCCACAGCGACTCACGAAGAGCTACTAAATCCGATCAGTAGCGGTGCGGCTTCTTTGGTGTATGGACACTCATATGGACTGCAGCGCACTGCTTGCGGGCAGCCTTTCGTTGTGTACTGGAAAACAATGTTCAACGCCACGTGCCAAAAATTATGATGATGACAACCGGACATCACTACACACGGTAATTGAATAGGCACCGTTTGGTGTGATCGGATGGAATTCTATTTTGAAATCTGTGTTAGGGAAAGCGCTGTTGCAGGTAAACGGTGATAATTTTGATCACCATTGCAACAGTTAGACATTTGTGTAATTTTCAATAGTGACCTGTCGAAAATTGATAAAGTATTAATTTATGCAGATTTGTAGAAAAATTTCTAATCGATTGGCTTGTTTAGAATTAAAATTCTTTTAAAAATTTAGAATATTTTTTTTTATTTCTTTCCAATATCTTGCCGAAAGACGTAATCCTACGTCCTACACCTGCTGAAAATGGGAATGATTGTTAGTTGGACACTTACTTAAGAGAGATGCAGAAAACTCTACAATCTCTCATAAGTGTCACAGGAGTTTGGAGGTTTGTTGGTTGGGAGGGTAAAGCCATACGTTCTGTAAACGTTGCTGGCAAATTCATAATAGCAATAGGGATAGGCAATAAGGCAAACACTGCAACTGATAAGTAACCATTAATGGAGGCGAACCAGCCCAAGGCTGAAAGCCTCCTTAATAAAGCTAAATAATAATAATAAGTACCCATTAATGGGTACAATTTCACCCATTTAGAAGTAAAGTAGGTTAACCCATTTAATGGGTAAACAAGTTACCCGTTAATAGGTAACTTGTACCCACAAATGAGTAATTTTTACCCATTAGTGGGTAAATGTTATTCATTTATGGGTATTTTTACCCATTTAAAGGGATAATCTACTTTACTTCAAAATGGGTGAAATTGTACTTATTACAGTAATGACCCGATTTTGTCAGCCCCTCCACGCATCAGACTATTATATTACAATACTTTCAGATAACCGTAATTCCAAATCTTTCTCATACATCTTGGATGTTTAAGGTATACTGTGGTGATAAGGTATAAGGTATAAGATCACTGATAAAATGTATGGGTTTCGAAACTAGAAAAGATTTTCAAAAAGGGGGCTGGCAAAATCGGGTCATTACTGTAATGGGTACTATAAAGTTAGAGTGTAATGAATTGCAAGGAAGGGTACGGGCCTAGGTTTGAACTCCCGACCTTCTGCTCAGTAAGTAGGAACGATAACCACTAAACTACCGAAGTAACCAAAGTCAAATTAGCAGAAATCGGTTATTTTTCAACGAACTTCTTTAAACAGCTTGAGAATACAATTTCTCAAAACTTAAATTTGAACAAAAATTTAATTTAAAAATGAATAATTTCAAGCATAATCTACAGTATCGAGATGAAAGAATTGTCAGAATCTTGCATGAGTATTATACAACATTTGTATACTACAAGATTTAAATACTAAATGTTTCTTTTGGCAATCAATTAGCTGCTTCATCGCAAGGGCTACAAAAGAGAGGAACAACTAAGCACGGAATCCAAGTTGTTTTTCATTGCTTGCTAAAAAACTATAATCAATTTTGTTTCCGTTTATTCAAATTCACAAAATGAATGCACTAACAAAGCTGGGAAATCTAATTTATATATAATTATATGCCCGTAAAAAAAATCACAGATTATCGGTAAATATTCGATATTCGGTTTGCATGTTCGGTAAAAGTGACAAAATATATATTAGATAATTAAAGATCCGCAATGAAAAAAAAATATATAAGTGTGTAAGTACTGCCATTACATTTGATGTGAGAAACATATTCACATGATGTAAGAAATCCATCCTTACATTTAATGTTCATAACATTTAGTTTGCGTGAATTCATCCATTGTTTAAACATAATTTTTCGATATACTCCTTATCTGGAATAAAAGGAAAAGACTCTGTTCCAATAATCACAATATCTTTTCTACTTTCAGAGGCATGTCATCCATATGAACCATTTAAATGTCCTGGCGATGGAAACTGTATTTCGATTCAGTATCTATGTGATGGAGCACCTGACTGTTCGGATGGATATGATGAAGACATGAGGCTTTGTACTGCTGGTTAATATTTGCATTTACACATTATATTGGTTCACAAAATAAATAATACATTTTTTTCACGTGAACACGTGTTTCAATATATAGCGAAACGACCACCTGTGGAAGAAACTGCATCTTTTCTACAGAGCTTACTTGCTTCGCATGGACCAAATTATCTGGAGAAGCTGTTCGGTAGTAAAGCACGTGATGCACTTGCTCCTTTGGGAGGGGTGGAAAAGGTGGCAATAGCCCTGAGTGAATCACAGACTATTGAAGATTTTGGAGCGGCATTGCATTTGATGCGGTAAGTTTACGTAATCTAATCAGGAAATTGACACCAGGAAATTAATAAATTTTGAATTATAATGCTTGAAAAAAGTACACGTAACATTTACTACGACTTCCACTAAGTGAACTATATTGTACCACATCCCGTTTTTGGCAACACGTGTTTTTGGTTTATTCAACCTTCTAAAAAATCGTCGAATACTAATTTCAATGAATGACATTACTAGAGCGTTAAACTGAGATCATCAGACCTAGAATGCATTGGTATAAAAATGGAGAAAAAAAAATACCGATGCGTGTTGCCATAAACGGGAAGTTTGATTTACCTAACGTTGATAGACGTAAATAATCCAGACGATTAAGGGTTGATTCCTGATTTATGACCTTCACATTTTTTGAGTGTATATCTACGAGCAAATAATATTTTTTTTCTATTTTTTCTAGGTCTGACTTGGAGCACTTGAGATCTGTGTTTATGGCTGTCGAAAATGGTGACTTAGGTATGCTTAAGTCAATAGGCATCAAAGATTCGGAGCTTGGCGATGTAAAGTTTTTCCTCGAAAAACTAGTCAATACCGGATTTCTTGATTGAGTGGCACCAGAACCATACTCGCCCTTTTACTATTCGGTTCCTCTTCAACCACAGTTCTATTCTTATTTGGGTTCATCATTTGATGGATATAACTACTAATATGGATATTTGCACATGATTTCCAGTAAAGCCAGATATGTGGTTACGAGATACTGACTGACACACTAAATAAAGCTCTAAACCACGTCTTTGCCTTTGCAAGTAATAATATTAACTTTCAGTTGCTAGATGGGTTAAATTATATCATTAAATAACTAACATCAATTATGTTGCATATAGTAGAAAGATACAACATCTGATAGAGAAACTTAGATAAGACTTGTTAAAAGTACACTTTTTTATTTTATCAGCAGATTCGTCCGGCATATAGTGTTAAAATTATGAATACACATGTTTTTTGATTGTCAGATACACAGATATCACCCAAACTACTGAACGTTAAACAAAATTCAATTTACCATACTCCATATAAGAAGAGTTGCAAAACAAAACTAGCCAGGGAAGGCAGATATTCATTTGTTTACTTCGATAGGTATTTTAACCGGTTCCCATAATTAGCACAATGAAAGTGTTGACAATTTAGGTTTGCAACAAACTATTTTGTTTAATCCATGATAAACTAAAACATCATCAAACTATTTGCTAGTTGAGCAACGAACATTTTGTTTTTCAAACTAAAGTATCATCAAACCATTTGCTAGTTGAGCAAAAAACCACATACATATCAAGAGGAGTAGAGTACCTTAATCTAGAACATAATCTGGAAAATCACATGCAATCTCAACATAATGATCGAATTCATATTTACCAGACATGCATAAACTTTAAGATAATCATATTTTACAAACTCCACTTATATGTCGAGTAAAGATGGAAAATAAATTTATAAAAGAATGTTGCGACTAGATTAAGTATAACGACGGAAAGTGAAACACAACCCAATATCTTATGAAAGACCATTGTTATGTATATTTTTTTATATATTCTCCAAACTCATTTATTGACGTTTTTACAAAAAACGTAATGTTACCACAGTGAAAAAAAAATCTAGAAGCTCGAAAATACGGATATTGTTAAAATAAATTTTCAAATAGTATCATCATTTGAAAATTAACCTGGACCTTGAAAAGTGTGAAATGCTAATAAAAGTGCGCTTTGACGTTTTAACATCTTGGTGTCTTTTTCGCACTTATTCTGCATGAACCTTATGAATCAAAGGCAAAGTGTGATTTAACGAAAAAGCGCACTTTTATTAGCATTTCCGTATCTAGTATCTTTTACACTATGCGCAATACGCCGCCATGTTTCATGCATTTATTTATAGGATTTTCCCGTTGGAATTTTTTTCTCCTTGGTTTGGTTTCCGTATATACTGAGTTTAACATTTATTTCAGAGTTCAAGGTGTGTTTCATATTCATGATTCAGCCATGTTGGATTTTTGTATGGGACAGCGACCGAGTTTGTTTACAATTTGCTCTAAAACCGAACACCCCCTCCCTCCCCCAGCAATCTCATCTGCCATGTAGTGACAAAGCTTTATCACCATGTATATACCCACCATGGTCGAGTTATTGTCTGGTTCAGGGTTTTTAATCGATAATCGTCGATAACGACTGCGTTAATGTCTGCAAAATCACCATTGCATACGTTATCGACGGTTATCGATCAACAACCCTTGTCAGGTTCACCATTTTGCTTGATACGAGCTGCTAGTTTTTCTTTTCACATAGCTATTTAAATAATTTTTAATGAAGTTTAAAAAAAAATAAATCATAACATATCTTTAATACAGATAATGTAACATATCAAAACTCCAAAGAACTGGTCATGTTTAAAAGAAGGTAAAACCTCCTTTTTTATTCTGATTTGTCTTAATGTTACGACAAGCTGCTTTGAAAGTGCAAAAAATAACTAGAACAACAAAACTCCAAAGAACTGCTCATATTTGAAAGAAGGTAAAATCTCCTATTTTTTTTAACTTTTGCATCAGTGATTTACATGAATCAATTTTAAATTGTTATTTGTATTCAGTTTAAACTACAAAATAAAATTTTCTTTTCAAAAATTTACCCTTCTTTTGGTCACATGCTGTTCTTCCATTTGTCTTAATTTCGGGGTAATGGCCATTCGGGGTAGTAGGACAGTCGGGGTAGTGGCATTTGGGGTAACGGCGTTCGGTGTTATGGCGTTCGGGGTAGTGACATTCGGGGTAGTGTCATAGATTCCACAAAAAGACATCAAATTTGCAAAGCAAATAAATTCATATTTATGTAGCAGTTATATTTTATTTTTAGCTATTTTAATGGTATACACGCGTCTGGCTGAAAATCTCCTTAATAAAGACAACCAACCAACCAACCAACCAATGGTATACACTTATTACAAGATGATTTAAAGCTTATTGATAAGCAATGTTTATCTTTAAAACATCATTTACAATAGTTAGTAAGTGCCACGAAGAATACTAAAATGTTACAACTATTTGAATTAATCTAAAACTATTTCAATATGTTTGGTATAATTGTTCTTAGACTTCATTTTTCTGTCCTCTAAAATGACAACGTGCTCTATTTAATTAACGCAACTTGCACAATCTACACTCTGTATACTGTCCTTGAGCTTACCTTGTGACAACTATGTATTACTATAAACATTACAAACAAAATTTACAAACATGAAAACTAGAACGGATAAATAATATGTCTAGCCATAATAAAAACAAACTGAAGTTTTCTTTAACTTTTGTGACACAGAATTTGGTACAATGTGTGATAAAATACAAAAACTTTATTATGTTGAGCAATACAAATTGAAAACTATGAAAATATAATTTTCAGTAATTAGGTCTACATTTGAGTATGTTTTCCGCATGTGTGCTTAATCTTCCTATAGCATATGGGTCATGTTTAGCCTGGAAACACTGTAATTTTTTTCCTAATGCATTAGGAAGGTTAAATTCATTTGAAAAGAAATTCCAAATAAGTCCACACTGAAACAAATCGACATGTACGGTTTATTGGATCCATCTTATAATATAGCAATGTCAGAAAATTTATTCATTCTATGTGACTGTTGATAGATTCCATTGGATTATCACTTAAAAACTGTTACTGCGATATGGAATGATTTCATTCGTAATTTCACATACTTAATACATGATATTCCTTTGATTCGAACGTGGTTACCGATGAATAAGATGTATATGAATATTATCTGATATATTTTATCATTAAAAACTCATGATACGTTGTGGGAACAGACATCTAGAAACCAATGGAAATACGCAATATCACACAAGCAGCGGAATGTGCAGCTGTTTGGATGTAATATTCATCAATTTTTTTTCTTTTCTGTATACTTTAACAAGAGGAGATTTTCTTCATGGAGTATTTAAAACAATTGTCGACAGTTCTGGTTTCAAAATTAAACTTGCACAGCTGTTTATTGATAGGCTTTTTTGTACGTAAATATTCTAACAGTTTATCATTTCAATTACAAAGACAACCCACGCATCGTGTTCATTCAATTCATTCCATCCACTCATCTCGTCAGTAGGTTCGGACTCGTTGGTCAACTACGACTGAGCTCCTAAAATTCTTCCCCCTTTAGTTTCCTTATCATAAAGATAATAAAAATGGCCAAAATGGTTAATTATTTACTAAAATAAAATGAAACGTTCAGAAATCCTACTTTTATTCGAAACTTGAGTACTCTTACGCTTTCTTGACCTTCCTAATTCTGAACCCTGAACATTTACTTTCTCTGAAGGATCATCGTATTTTAAAAACGTGAAGCACTCGTAGCTAAAGATCTCGAAGCCGAATATTGTACGGGCGCATCGAAAATAATGGTATCTGATGCAAAAACCTTAAAAATCTTCTTCATCGGTTTCTACTTGTTCACGTTGTTCCATTACCAGAGATATGGTATTGCTGCTATCATCGCTGTCGTACTAATTACTATCCGTAACAATTTGATGCTGTACCAAAGTGTAAAATTGGCAACACTTGAATACCTCAACATCCTTTCCCTCAAAATAGTTTCCTTGAGATTCGATGCATAATTCAAATGGTAAAGAATAAATATTTACATTGTGATGCAAAAATTCCAAAATCCTGTCCAATCCCTTACAAAAAAAAAACTAAAAAAAACCATTCTGTCTCCTGATGCGATCTCATTATCATCGAATTTTTTTTCTTCAATTTTTTAGTAGGGTACAGAACTACTTCGGCCTAATCGCCCATTTTGGGCCTATCGAGCAAAAACATCAAATAAATCCATGATTTCAGAGTTAACATGTCAATGATGCGTTTGGTACGATACTTTAGTTAATAAAATAATAACATAGGTACATAAATTTGGAAGCCATCAGTAATAATAACATTCCGTTTGATGCTAAACTGCGCTAGATTGAGAAATACCAACAATCAATACGAAACTAACGATTATAAATTGGCTCACTACTTGACTAACCTATTGGTCCCAAGTAAACGATTAACTTACCCTATTCTAGTCGAAATTCTACTACTACACAATGTTTGTTTTGATTCGCTATGAAAGTTTGACAGATAAAATGAGGGGTTATTGGTTTTTCCTATGTTTCGAGGGGTGAATCGATTAGCTTGGGACCGAAGATAGTACCAGAGCTGAGCCAAAAAGTTAAGCACGTTTCTTCGGGACCTTCTGGTCTTAGAGTGGAAATACTAAGTGCGGGTTGTGCTTAATAGGCCGGAAATGGGGTAGTTAACCCTATATTGTTTAACCGTTTTGTTTTTTACCCTTTAGGAGCTCGACAAGGGTACCCGGGTACATACAAAATTGAAATGCTACTGCGGCCAATTTTGACCGATTCTGAATCTTTTGGCACCATTGGATTAAAAAACTTATCCTCTTTCTGGCAACAATGACCATCTGGAATCGTCTGGTTCCCGGAAATCCGGATTTCCTGTATAATGTTCCAGAACTAAGCATTTTCTTGCCATTTTCGCTAGAATTTCGAAGGAATTGATATCAAAGTATCAGAATCTCCGTCAAGAAACAATTTCAGCTTACTTGAGGAACAGTTTAAGGTTTGTCCCCGGAACGGCTATTCCGGAGCAAGTTCCCGTAGGGCCTCTAGTGGCCATAGAAGTTTTTGGGAAGAAACCCCTACAATATGATTTTTAAATTTTCATGAAATTACAGCAGGAGACTGCTTATCATAATTATGTGATCATCCGATGGATTGTCCTCGGAACGGACATTGCGGAGTAGGTTCCCGTAGGGCCTCTAATGGCCATAGAAGTGTTTGGGAAGAAACTCCTACAATAGGTATTAAAATTCATGAATTTACAGCAGAAAACAGTTTATCATAATTTTGTGGGCATTTGATGGATTGTCCTCGGAACGGCATGCCGGTGCAGGTTCCCGTAGGGCCTCTTGTGGCCATAGAAGTGTTTGGGAAGAAACTCCTGCAATATGGCTATCAAAATTCATGAATTTACAGCAGGAGACTGCTTATCATAATTATGTGATCATCCGATGGATTGTCCTCGGAACGGACATTCCGGAGTAGGTTCCCGCAGGGCCTCTAATGGCCATCGAAGTGTTTGGGAAGAAACCCCTACAATAGGTATTAAAATTCATGAATTTACAGCAGAAGACAGTTTATCATAATTTTGGGGGCATTTGATGGATTGTCCTCGGAACGGTGATTTCAGAGTAGGTTCCCGTAGGGCCTCTAGTGGCCATAGAAGTGTTTGGGAAGAAACCCCTACAATATGGGTATTAAAACTCATGAATTTACAGCAGAAGATCGTTCACGGAACCGAATTTTGTTCATTTAAATCAAAAATAAAAATGTTCATTCTATAAACATATGAATAATTAAAAATAAATTAAAACCATGTTTGCAACAAAAATATATATGTTTGAATTAAAGCCAGAAGCATGTTTATTTCAACAATTTAGAGTTAGGGGAAAACGGTTTTTAGCGTGCCCTGCATTTTTCCTTCTTGTTTACATTCGGAAAAAAATTGCCCCAGCTTTGCCAATCAACTGAAAACGGCCCGCAACAAAACCGAAGTCATGGATGCGGAAACCCACCTAGGTAAGTATCTTAACAAAGGGAAACGAAAATCCGAAATGGATTTTGAATCTATTCCGGAACCTCCAGCTCCTCCCCCCCCCCCCTGAAAAAGAGCGATTTCTTCCTGTTTGCTTCGAGCTTTTGTCTTTGATCTTCTCTCCTGCCACAATCAGATCCTTCGAAACTTCAGCAAGCTTTATCATATTCACACAATCCTGACTCGACTGATTAATTTGTTGGATCAAGTTCTTACTAAAATCAGTGCTGTATTCATCCTCCTTCCTTACCGAACTCAACGGTTTCTCATCATCCTCATCTTCTTCCGATTCCTGCATTTCCAATTCTACATTGCAACGAGCATTGCAATCAAACTGAATTCGGGATCTTCCGTTTTTTCATCTCTTTGCAATCCATTTTTCTGCTTTATCTTACATTAAAATGCTAATATAATTTAAAATTAAGTATGTTTCTTTCAAACATAAGAAGCATGTTTAAAATAAACATATTTATTTTTGTTCGCATTGTTGTCAAACCAAACAAAAATGTTCACGTTTATTTTCAACACGAATATTTTTAAAATAAACGTAACATTATTTTTATTTTAAACATTAATATTACATGACTTCAAACAAGGAATACGTTTGAAATAAACCATCAAGGTTTATTTCAAACGTATTCCATGTTTGAAGTCATGTAATATTAATGTTTAAAATAAAAATAATGTTACGTTTATTTTAAAAATATTCGTGTTGAAAATAAACGTGAACATTTTTGTTTGGTAATCAATATTTTTGTGGCCAGAACAAACTGAGTTTACGTTTGAATTTACCTCAAATATTTTTGTTTTAACGATAAATTTTTCTGCGTGTTTATCATAATTTTGTGGCCATTTGATGGATTGTCCTCGAAACGGTCATTCCGGCGCAGGTTTCTGTAGGGCCTCTAGTGGCCATAAAAGTTGTTTGGAAGGACGTTCCGACGTCAATCCATCAGATTATCACAAAATTAGGATAAACAAGTCTCATGCTGTAAATTCCGAAGTAAATTCAAGAATTTTGATACCCATATTGCAGGGATTTCTTCCCAAACACTTCTACGGCCACTAGAGGCCCTACAGGAACCTGCGCCAGAATGACCATTCCGAGGACAATCCATCAAATGGACACAAAATTATGATAAACGGTCTTCTACTGTAAATTCAAGTTCAGGTTCCCGTAGGGCCTCTAGTGGCCATAGAAGTGTTTGGGAAGAAACCCCTACAGTATGGGCATCAAAATTCATGAATTTACAGCAGGAGACTGGTTATCATAATTTTGTGATCATTCGATGGATTGTCCTCGGAACGGCCATTCCAGAGCAGGTTCCCGTAGGGCCTCTAGTGGCCATAGAAGTGTTTGGGAAGAAACCCCTACACGGATAGAAAATTGTTTGCATTTAACCAATAAAAACTTTAGTTGTATGTAAACAAACAATTTCGGTTGAAATTATATTGCATTTTGTTGTTTCAATAATACATATTCATATAAATTCAAAATAGGATCCTTTTTGTTTTAATAAGCCACTTTTCTACTGCAACTATTGTAAAAATAACAATATTCTATTATTAAGCCAACAATAGTTAATTTTAATTTAGCTTTTCTTAATAACGCTTTGAAAAAGTGTACTAATCAACTAGTTGAGCAAAAGTTTGTTTCTTTGAAGAACTCGAACAGCTGGTACAATTTGGATCTTTTGCGTCTTAAACGGAAAAGGGACAAATGGTACAAACAGTTTTGTAGATCAAATAATGACAATCATTGG